GAATCCTACTGACAGTATTCACTTCCGCACACGGTCAACCAGCTGTGTTCTAGCAACTATCCGGAGTTTTAAAATGATTTCCACAATTCCCCGCCCCCTGTTCCCTTTTCCTTTTCAGAATGATTTCACTATTCAAACGCCTCACGTTCTCCCTCGGTGGTGGTTTGTATTTTTAGGTTTTCTTGTCGGCGATGCAGAGTGTGGCTGCTGTTCACACCACGTGTCCCTCTTCTGTCCTTCACACTCTTCCGAAGGGTTAGTTAGCTCGCAGAATGGCGATATCATGAAGATGGAGACGGAATTATGGGATTTAAACGCCTCAGGCTAATGGAATGCAGAAGGGTTGGAGCTGATAGGAATTTAAATAATCCTTTGAGTCAACCCTCTTACAACAGAGGAAACTGAGGTTTGCAGAGGTCAAATGTCCTCTCCAAGGTCAACTTCAGTTAAACGAAGATGTAGAATCAAAGTCCCTGGGTGGTGTAAACAGTTAATGTGCTCAGCTGCTAACTGAAATGCTGGCAGTTCAAATCCATCCAGAGATGCCCTGGAAGAAAGGCCTGGAGATCTACTTCTGACAAATCAGCCACTGAAAAACGTAGGGAGCACAGTTCTACTCTGACACACGTGGGGTTGCCATGAGTTGGAACTGACTCAATGACAACTAGTGTTCTTAGATGGAGACTCTAGGTGTCTTCTCCGTATATAACTCCGTCACACTATGATTAGATGCAAATGACCATCTCATACAATGTACTATTTTGTAAGGCTTTTAAAATTTTCTGTTATGAAAATAAGTTCCAATGGAATTTCTGGAAGAAGTGTCTCCCTTCTGTTCTTCAGTGGTGGACCATCACGGAAAGTTGAAACAGTGTATGTTAAGAACTCATGTTTGGTTTTAAAGCTGTCTTTGAAAGGAGTGCAAGGAAATGGTTTTTTTCCTTATTTTTCTAGGCTTGTAGAGCTTGTTCTGACAATATAAAAAAACAGTTTTACATAGTCAAACATATTGCTCAAGGAAGGAATCTTTTAAAATAACTTCATATGACAAAATGAATTTTTTTTGTTGTTGTTGAAAACTTGAAAAACGGAGTATAGAGAAGAAAATAAAAGCTGCCCATAATCTTGTAACTTGGAGACGGCCACTGTTTACGTACGGCGTCCTTCCTGCTGGCCTGACATAGACCTCACAGACTGGTGCGTGCCCAGCTATGCCTCCAACTTCCTGAGAGATACCCATGCACTGAGCAATATTATAGTCACTCTGTGCACGGTTTATGTCATGCTTTTTCCATGTAACAATATACCAGGAACATTTTCTCAAGGATACTTGGATAGGAGTATGAACAAATGTGAAGACTTACGGACCCACGAGGTGTGAAGCCACTGAGCCTGACTGTTTTGCCCGTGAGCTAAGATGTCAAGGTTAACACTGACAGGATCTAGGCTGAGAGACGGTTAAACAAAGAGAACAATTTCCAGCTCTGTAATTCTATTTCACTGCTCCAGAGCAGGGCCACCGACATTAGATTCCTTCTGCAATGACCCCGGTTGTACTCCTCCTAGTCTTTCCCTTTTCTTTTTAGGAGCAAGAGAAGTGATCAGAATTGAGGGGGAAGAAGGGACAGCTAGGATTTAAGGAGAAAAGCAAGTATTCATGGTCACTACTGATGTCCTGGTCAAATTAACACGGAATCTGCAGGTAGAAAGTAAAGTGTGTGCGTGATCACTAAAACAATCTGATTATAATCACCAACTCTCATACTGAGATATAATTCACATACCATACAATCTACCCAGTTAAAGTGTACAATTCTACGGTTTTGAGTATATCCACAGAGTTGTGCAACTATCACTATAATCAATTTTAGGACGTTTTCATCAAAAGAAACCCCATAATCTTTAGCCATCACCTTCTCAATCACCCCCTGCCCCAAACCTTAGGCAACCACTAATTTACTTTGGTTTCTATAGATTTGCCTGTTCTAAATGTTTCATATAAATGGAATCATATAATATGTGGGCTTTTGCGACTAGCTTCTTTCCCTTAAGCTAATGTTTTCAAGGTTCGTCCATATTGTTATATGTATCAGTACTTCATTCCTTTCTATTGCTGAAAAATATCCCATTGTATGGATAAACTACGTTTTGTTTACCTAGTCATCAGCTGATGGACATTGCTTGTTTCCTCTTTCGGGCAATTCTGAATAATTCTGCCATGAACATTTATGTGTAAGTCTGTGTGTGGGCATATGTTTCATATGTTTTCTCTTGGGCGTGTACCTAGGGGTGGAACTGTTACGTCAAATGGTAACTCTAACCACCAGATTGTTTTCTAAAGAGAGCAGCCATTTATTTTTAAGGCTTTCAGGAAATCGTGAACTAACAAATATCTAATTAATTTTCCACTTCTATGGAACTACTATTAAGCAAAAATATTATTTTATTATAAAATCGAGGGCAAAAAGTCAAAACTTGCTTTGTTTCATACAGACCTTCTATTAAACAAAGAATAATCCTTTAACATTATGTTTGCAGGAGGATCTTGTAATAATCAGCCATATTCAATTGACAGTTTTAGGAATATTATTATAGCTGTAACAAAAAACTAAGGAGACCGTTACCACAATGGTTAAGCACTCGGCTGCTAACCAAAAGGTTGGCAGTTGGAACCCACCCAGCTGCTTTGCAGGAGAAAGACCTGGTGATCTGCTTCTATAAAGATTATGGCCAACCATGGGGCAGTTCTACTCTGTCACATGAGGTCGCTATGAGCCAGGAGCGACTTGATGGCACCTGTCTCAGTCATTGAGTCTGTTATAATGGAAATACCGCAAGTGGGCAGCTTTAACAAAGAGAAATTTATTCTCTCACAGTCTAAATTCAGGGTGTCATCTCCAGGGGAAGGGTTTCTCTCTCTGTCAGCTCTGGAGGAAGGTCCTTGTCATCAGTCTTCCCCTGGACTAGGAGCTTCTCTGCGCAGGAACCTAGGGTCCAAAGGATGTGCTCTGCTCCCAGCACTGCTTTCTTGGTGGTATGAGGTCTCCGCTTGTCTGTTTGCTTCCCTTTCCTTTCATCTCTTGTAAGATAAAAGGTGGTGCAGGCCACACCCCAGGGAAACTCCCTTTACATTGGATCAGGATGTGACCGTAGAAAGGGTGCTACAATCCCACCTTAATCCTCTTTAACATAAAATTACAATCACAAAATGGAGGACAACCACACAATACTGGGAATCACGGCCCAGCCAAACTGATAACACACAATTTTTGGGGGACATAATTCAATCTATGACAGCACCCGACAATAACAACGTAACAAAAACTGTCACTCTGAGTGTGGTTTCAGTTATATTGCTGTTGACAACACTGCATTAGAAACCTGAGTGCCCAGCATAAACAGAATTTCTAGACCCGCAGACCCGAACTTTTGTGTACATAAGAACTACTGGGCCAACCTGCAAAAAAATAAAATTCCAGGCTCCATACCTGAGAGAGTATGATTAATCGTAGATCAGGAACGGGACCTAGGAATCTGTATTGTTAATAACCCCCCTCCACTCCTAAAACACACCGAGGCGATCTTGATGCAGGCTCCAGCCTGGCCAAGGGGTCTGTTTTTGTGTTTTCTCCCGCTCGGCCTTGCTGATGATGTCATCCTGATTCCTTTCTCCTGGAGGAATCCCATCCCTCTTGAATCTCATGTACCTTCTTAATTCATCTTCAACTACCTTATTTGAAAAGGCCCTTCTCTTCCTTTGTATGCCTCTGCCATTTAAACCAACCAGTTGCCATGGCGTCAACCCTGACTCATGGTGACCCCATGTGTGTCAGAGTAGAACTGTGCTCCACAGGATTTTCATGGCTGATTTTTCAGAAGTAGGTCGCCAGACCTTTCTTCCAAGGGGCCTCTGGGTGGGCTCAAACCTCCAACCTTTCAGCTGAGGGTGTTCTCTCTTGTCCAGGGACTCCACGACATTTGAAGTCTGTATGTATTTGGTCTATGCATTTATTGCCCTATATTGCTGATTATATGTTGTTCAGAATATATATCTGATTTCCCCAACTAGGTTGTCATGACGTGAAGGCAGGGAGTGACATATTCCCCACGTGAAGCTGTTGAGGACATAGTAGGTGCTCAGTTAATACACACATTGATGGATTAAATGACTGTGAGCCTGGAGTAAGGCTTTAGATGACATCTGAATCTTGGCCCCTGTGTAATGCTTGGGAATCCGTGTTGGTACAAACGGTTAATGCTCTCTGCTGCTAACCAAAAGCTTGGGGGTTCAAGTTTACCCAGCGGTACCTTGGAAGAAAGGCCTGAGGGTCTACTTCTGAAAGATCAGCCATTGGAAACCCTGTGGAGCACAGCTCTACTCTGACACTCATGCGGTCGCCTTGAGTTGGAACTGACGGAACAGCAACCCTTACTGGGGGTGGGAGTGCAAAGGGGCCGGGGGTGGGGGACCCATTGCTGGATGTATTAACTGACGGAACAGCAACCCTTACTGGGGGCGGGAGTGCAAATTGGCCGGGGTGGGGACCCATTGCTGGACTGTATTTCTGACATCCGGCCCGGGGACAACCAGGAAGAAGACGGTTATGAGTCACGTTTTACTTAAACTGAGCAATCCGGGCCGCTGCTGCTGCTTGGGCTGGTTTGTATGCCACACACAGTCATTACAACCTGCTCGTCTCAGCCGCTGCTCTTTTCCCACATGGAACTCTGCCACAGAACATATGCGGCAGGATGGTATTTATGCAACGTGGCTTTGCTCTCTGAGAATGGCTGAGATGGTTGCAGGGACATATTAAAGAATCCTGAAGATGTTTATGCTGCTTATCATCAGCTAGAGAGCCACGTGCCTGATATTCTCCCGCAGAGAGCTCTCCAGAAAAACGTGCAACCCGAAATAGAAGAAATACTTCCTGAAATAATCAGAGTGTAGACCACAATGACACGCCTCGGCAGCCGCCGGCCGGGTTTGCAATCCTTACCTTTTAAGGTTGCTTTCTTAAGGACTTTCATGGCGTAGAGATGCCCAGCGTCGGGTCCCTTCACCTTCCTCACCAGGAACACCTTTCAAGAGGAAACAGAGCTTCAACACCGAGGGGAAGACATCAGCTCGGTTTCCTTATTTGCTCTGACAAAGGAATGCCCAAGGAAGTTTAGAAAAAGTCTGATAAAATAAACACACCGCAGTGGAATTCTCCCACATCTAGGCTGTCAGGAAAAGTTCTGTCTGATTTGCCACAATTCTGTGATCAACATCGTTACCCGTTTGTATGAAGAACCACCATTTGCTTTCAGTACCATCAACTTTTATTTTCTGTCAGAAGTGAAACCACCTCGTCTTAACGGAAGACCTGCTGTTTAGAAAAACCATCCGGATTCAGAAGGCTCGGGAGCACGTCTGGCTTATTGTAAACACCCCTTTGTAGGTCTCCGCCGCGGAGAGCACTCGGGGCTACTGCCTGTCACCAGGGCCGCCTCCATCCCCGTGGCGCGACAAGCGAGTCCCTCGTATCCTGAACGTTCTTCACCCCATTCTGGTTTTGGGTCGGTTACCGTTAGACATGGAGTGAGTTTCTAAACAGCTCTGAAATATGCTCAGGTGGACACTAACAGGGTTCTCTGACTCCTCTTTGAGGTACATCATAGAGGAAAACAAACCAAAACCAGACTAAAAAAAAATTGAGAGAGGCTTAGCTTGAAGTCATATTAATGATTTTTGAGCAAAATTAGTGTGTGTGTGTGGGGGGGAACAACAAAACCTAAACTGGAGTATCCTTTGTGAAATAAGCCCTTTCCTGCAAAAACACTATTCGACTTTCCTAAAAGAATTCCAAGTAAGTGCAAACATCCGCCGAAGCCACCCAGGGCCTAAAATCAGAAACGTCCTGCCGTCCGCACAGGCAGGGTGGTGGCCCTCGTGGTGTGATATCAGGGTGTGGTGAATTACGTCTCCCCAACACCTCCTTCACCAAGCCTCATATGCCAGAAACTTCTACCGTGGCAAATTCATTTTTGGGTATTGCAGCTCCATGGAAACTGCAGTTGTCTGAGACTGGTAACCAGGGCCGTCATGCAGGTAACCCAGAGCACGTGCAGGTAACCCAGGGCACATGCAGGTAACCCAGGGCCATCATGCAGGTAACCCAGGGCCGTCATGCTGGTAACCAGGGCCGTCATGCAGGTAACACAGAGCACGTGCAGGTAACCCAGGGCACGTGCAGGTAACCCAGGGCCATCATGCAAGTAACCCAGGGCCGTCATGCAGGTAACCCAGGGCCGTCATGCCGGTAACCAGGGCCGTCATGCAGGTAACCCAGAGCACGTGCAGGTAACCCAGAGCACGTGCAGGTAACCCATGGCACGTGCAGGTAACCCAGAGCCATCAGGCAGGTAACCCAGGGCACGTGCAGGTAACCCAGGGCCATCAGGCAGGTAACCCAGGGCCATCAGGCAGGTAACCCAGGGCACAGGCAGGTAACCCAGGGCACCATGCAGGTAACCCAGGGTCATCAGGCAGGTAACCCGGGGCCATCATGCAGGTAACCCGGGGTCATCAGCCAGGTAACCCGGGGCACGTGCATGGCAACTTAGGTAAGGGGCTGCAGGGGTCACCACACTGGGCTCGCCTGGTCACAGAGAGACCCAATCTGCAGATTTCTGCTCCTCTAGTTTTCTGCTGCAGATGAGGACAGAGAGACAGACAGACAGACAGACAGAGACAGTGAGGGGGACAGAGAAAGAGAGACATACACAAAGAGACACACACAGAGAGACAGAGACAGAAAGTGGGAGAGAGAGGCAGAGAGACATACACACAGAGACACAGGGAGAGAGAGAGACAGAGAGAGAGCCATACACACAGAGACAGAGAGAGAAAGAGACAGAGGGGGATAGAGAGACAGAGAGACATATACACACAGAGGCAGAGAGGGGGACAGAGACAAATACACACAGAGACAGAGAGAGACAGAGAGAGGCACACAGAGACAGACAGCACTAAGAAGCAGGCGGCAGGTGCGGTGGGTGGGCGCCGGGTACAGGCAGGCTCCCAGAGACCGTCCGCCAGGTGCCTCTTCTGGAGAAGCACACCAGGAAGGGCTCTAGGAGGCACGAGACCCCGGCTGCGCGCACGGACCAATGACGCTGTGGCACCAAGTTTCACATTCTGACTAGGGACCCTCGAGAAAGCCCGGCTGCCTTGTACTGTCCCCGGCACCTTCCGATGGCTGGTACGACTCTAACCACCTCCAACCCACCCGTCCCTAAAGCCGGAACGGCAGGGTCAGTGGAAGAACACCCTCCTCTCTGCCCAGACCAGCATGAGGTGGATGGGGACGGGACACCCTTGCGTGTGTGGTCAGCACGGCCTCCAGGAGGGAGTCGGAGCCCGGGGGCTGACAATGAGAAACAGGGTGCCCTTCCTGCAGGGGTGGGGTTAGGCTGTCACTGGAAGTCATGGTCCCCTCTGGGGGGAGGTGTGGGCGTCTGTGTGCACATCTGTGTGTGTGTGTGAGTGTGAGTATGTGTGAGTGTGTGTGAGCATATATTATGTGAGTGTGAGTGTACGTATGAGCCTGTGTGAGTGTGTATACGTGAATGTGAGCATGTGTGTGAGCATGTAAGTATGTATACACGTGAGACTGCATACGTGCGTCAGTGTATATTATGTAAGTGTGAGTATGAGTGAATATACGTGTGTATGTGAATGTGTGTACATGTGTATGTTATGTGAGTGTATATATGTGTGAGTATATGTGTGAGCGTGTGAGCGTGTAAACGTGTGTGTAGTGTGTGAGTGCATATATATGAGTATATATATGTGTGAGCGTGTGAGTATGTGTGTGAGCATGTGTGTGTGCCCCCCAGTCCTTCTGTCTGTCAGCTGGTCAGGGATCCTGCAGTGCTGACTCCCAGGGATGGCTGGGCCAGGCCCCCACGCACTGCTCTGAGAACAGAAGGCAGCAGCCGTCAGGTGAGACATGGGGCTCCTGGCTGCCCCTGACAGCCCCACGAGGCCCTGGACACTCCGACACATAGAGGGACTGCATGTCGGGGTGTGCTGCTGGGCCAGGGCCACGCCCTCCAGGTGGGGGCAGAGTTCCAGAAGGCAGGTGGCCTGGGCCCAGCCTCAGTCAGAGAGAGGGGCTTTGGAGAGAGAAACTTGCGTCTAACTTTCTGAGTTCTTCCCTTGTGTGTTGTGACAGCCATGCGCGCAGCTTCTGAGGTGCTCTGAGGCTGTAGCTCCTTGCTTCCGAGCCCTGCAGAAGGACCAGGCCTGTCGCCTTCACCAAGTGGGGATCAAGGTCAGTCAGGAAGTGAGGCCTGCTGACCCCCGCTGGGCGAGGCGGGACGGGAGGGGAGGGCAGCCGGGGTGCAGGTGAGGAGCCCCAGCTGGGCGAGCAGGTCCGGGAGACGGGGCACAGGCTAAGGGGCCACTGCTGGGGGTGCGGGGCCTCCATCCTCCTGACTTGGGGGGCGGCTGGGTTGGGGGTGGGTGGGACCGGGCCGGGGCTGTGTTTGGGGCCGAGACAGTGCTGCTTCGAGCACTCATCACGCTTTCCAGAAACCCTGCATTGGGGGAAGGGGGGCGGTGCTGAGCCACGGGAGCAAGTTGGGGGTCTCCCTGGGCTAGCTCACCCCACCTGTCACATTCCCTGCAGTGGTGACAGTGGACACCATGCACGGAGCTGGCAGAGCCCCACGGAGAACTGCCCTGGGTCCCTGAGTCACTGTGTGGAGAACAGTTGCCTTAGACAGTTGCTCAAACCCGTGGTGAATTCTGGCTGGGAGACAGGCTAACCCAGCCTATTCTGTCAGAGCATAATCGACATAGAAGCACCAAGATGGAAAACCAACAACAAGAAAACCCTTCTTCAAAACGGGAGGACTGAGGAAAAAGGGAGCAAATAACACGAAGGACTCGTGTTTGGAGGGTCTAGTCTTCGCGATATCCGGAGCTGATCCTCTCTGTCCCTCCCCCAGTGCTCCTTGCCCCTACAGAACAGGGAGAGCATGTCTGTAAGGATTTAAGGGGCAGCGAAAACCCCCACTTAAGTCTGAGATGAAAACCAGGTTCACACGGGGCAGGGGACAATTCGGATTTAGTTTAAATGATGCCGAACTGTACACAGATGTTTACACAGAAGACTTTTTTCTCAAGGGTATTTCAGACTTTGAAAAGGAAATGCTTGGCAGTAACAGCAGATACGTTGACACTTCCACCTTCCCTCTGTCAGCGTGTGGCTGGTGCGTTGCTGTGATGCTGGAAGCCAGGCCGCTGGTATTTCAAATACCAGCGGGTCACTCATGGTGGACAGGTTTCAGTGAAGCCTCCAGACTATGACAGACTAGGAGGAAAGGCCTAGCAATCTACTTCAAAAATTACCCAATGAAAACCCTATGGCCCACAACAGAACATAGTCTGATACAGTGCCGGAAGATGAGCCTCCAGGTTGGAAGCGCTCAAAATACACAGCAACTATGGACTACAGCATTGTTATTGTTGTTGTTAGGTGCCGTCGAGTCGGTTCCGACTCATAGTGACTCTATGTACAACAGAACGAAACATGGCCCGGTCCTGCACCATCCTCACAATCGTTGTTATGCTTGAGCCCATTGTTGCAGTCACTGTGTCAATCCGTCTTAATAAGGGTCTTCTTTTTGCTGACCCTCTACTTTACCAAGCATGATGTCCTTCTCCAGGGACTGATCCCTCCTGATAACATGTCCCCAGTACGTGAGATGTAGTTTTGCCATCGTTGCTTCTAAGGAACATTCTGGTTGCACTTCTTCCGAGACAGATTGTTACCTCTTTTGGCAGTCCACGGGATATTCAATATTCTTCACCAACACCCCAATTCAAAGGCGTCAATTCTTCTTTGGTCTTCTTTATTCATCGTCCAGCTTTCACATGCATATAAAGCAACTGAAAATACCATGGCTTGGGTCAGGCAAACCTTAGTCTTCGAGGTGACATCTTTGCTTTTCAACACTTTAAGGAGGTCTTTTGTAGCAGATTTTCCCAATGCAATGCGTCTTTTGATTCTTGACTGCTGCTTCCAGGG